TATTATTTTTTAGTATGATAGTTACAAATTATGCTGCAAAAGTTTTAATAAAATGTTTAAAATACAAAGAAGGACTTTATACATATCCTGACATAGGTATTTGTAACTTTTTTTTTCTTTAAGCTGCAACATTTAATAATGCTTAATTTTTATAAATAAATATACATTACATATAATAGCTGCGTTAGCATTTGGAAATATAGGAAAATATATTATATTAGCTTTTTTCTTATTAGAAATAATTGGGGCATCAATTGCTTTTGTGATCCTCATTGGTGATTCTTTACAAGTGTTATTTCCTGATATATCTATTATATTGCTAAAAATTATTTCTTGGATAATATTAGTGCCATTAACAATAATTGATATTAAATATCTCTCATATTGTTCACTACTTGGAGTATTAGCAGCAGTATTTTTAGCAATTATAGTAGCAATTAATGGATTTACGCAGAATGAACAACCTGGAAGTCTATTAAATCCTATGCAAACTGAATTATGGCCCTCCAATTGGAATTCTTTACCTTTAAGCTTTGGATTATTAGTAGCTGGATATTCAGGTTATTAATTTTGATCTTTTTAGTCATAATTTAATTAATTTTTATTAATTGTAATAATATTTTTTCTAGGACATGCCATATTTCCTTCAATATATCTAAAGATGGAAACACCTGAAAAATTTTCAAGTTTAGTAGATATTTCGTACGCTATTAGTATTGTTGTTTATCTTATAACAGGTGTATGTGGTTACTTAATGTTTGGAAATCAGGCAAGACCAGAGGTATGTTTTTGTTATACATTTAAAATTTTTTAAATTATAAATCTATAAATAAATTTTATTATTAAAAAATTATGAAATAATATATATTATAAACATTATACTATAGATAACACAAAATATCATGTCAACATCTAATCATTTGAAAATCCTAAATTCGTTTATAGTTTGGCTTGTGGCAATTAGTCCACTTGCAAAATTTGCACTTTCATTACATCCAGTAAATTTATACCTTGAAATACGATATCGTTCAAGTCCATGCGCCTCAAATGACGCTTTTTTTTTATTCATGCGTTTTTTGTCACGTACATTAGTAGCAACTTTGATTGTATTCGTTGCAATTGTGTATCCAAATTTTGATAAGATGATTGAATTGATTGGTAGTCTTTTATTTTATACTATTTCTGCAATGTTTCCATGTATGTTTTATTTGAAATTATTTGGCAACAAGTTAAGATGGTGGGATTGGTTGTTTAATATAGTTATTATTTTAGTGTGTGGTGTATTATCAGTTTTAGGGACTATTTGGCCTTTTTTGAATATGTAATAAAAACAGATGGTAAATGTGATAGTTGTGATAATTATAAATAGTGTTTTACATACTTCTAGCCATAAATTAAATATTTATTATTATTATTATCAAATTATTGTAACAAGCTTAACAGTTAACATATGCGCATATTAAATTATTTAATTATTCAAAGATACCTGGATAATACATTAAAATGTTAAACATAATTCAAACATTATATTTACCAATTGAGAGAATACTTAAAGTTTTGACCTCGAATTACAAAGATTTGAGTATATAAATTTTAATATATGAGCATAGTTTCAAAGTTCAGAACCGGTTATATTTTTCATATTTTTAAGTGGATTCAACATATGAAATAAAGATGTATAAATATAATAACTTTTGACCATAACAGTATATCCAACGAAATTATTTCAAAAAATGAATTGAATGGTGATTATACGCTTACAATACAATTCAACCTTTCATGTGAAAATAGATATTAGCAAATATAATGAAATTAAATGATTAAAAATGAATCTATATACTTGCAATCTTTATGGATATATTTAAATCTGTGATATATCATACATGATTTATAAGACTTAAAATTTACTTCTTTTATGATGGTTATAATTAAAATGAGTGCTAGGATTGTTCATTTTTCGTTTAAGGTAAAAGCAGCTTATAGAAAATCTTAAGTTTCTTTTATGATCGATGTGTACTATTAGTTATATATTACATGACAATTATCATGTGTACGCTTGTGTACTGCAATTTCGTGCTGTAATGCTTTACACTCGTTTTCTTGGATCGTGGCAAAGACCAACATGCTACATCCAGGGTATGTTCAAGAGGCGTGTTCATGTGATCGATGTGATTGTATTTACATCAATTGTCATGCACATACGTAGTTTATTGCAGTATTGTAATACTGTATGTGTGTCTTACAATAAAATATGTGTCAAATTTTTAGTTAAATAGAATAGAATCGTGCATAATAGAATGTTAGGTTAGCTAATGAACTCACTTTCCTAATTAACAATAAAATTCGTAATAAAGTATATATTGACCCGGTTTTTAAGTAATTGTGCGTCATAACTTTGAAAACCGGTGTGTCCTAAAGGTGGTAACAGTAGAATTGAATCGAAGAAAGTCTTTTCCAGCGCTGATTAACAAGGTTTAGACCCACAAGCACCAGTAATCTGAAGCTAGATTAGCAATAGGGAAGTCTCTATTGCAAGCCTACGTGATTCTTACTTTTTTAGAAATTCATGAAGCTTACCATTTTTCAAACCTTCAAAGGAGTTCTCTTTATGGTTGCCAGTGGATAATGATTGAGATAATGATTCGAAAGAACAATTTCTTAATCTCATTAAGCTTGAAAGATTGAATCTTTACACGAGAATACAATTTTAGTTTCCTTGGTTTTTAATCTTTTGACACTGTTATGAATCAAAACAAGGCATAGTATAAATAATGAAAAACATTAGAAAGGATATTAGTTTATCTTTTTTTTTCATAATTAGAATTTATAAATTCTTTTAATTTTTTTAGACGGGTTTGTTTGATAGCGTGCATTCGGCATGCCAGGGAGGCATCTTTGAATGAATTTGTTGATGGCAAGCCAATTTTTTTAGGTATGCCACTCACCCTAATAATTTGTGCACTATTAACATCACCAGAAAATCCGTCATTTCATAATCGCCGCCAAAAAATTATACAGATTGTATTATTATAAATAAACAACAACAAAGGATAAAATTGATAAATAAAAATACTGTATTAAAGGTTTGTATCACTGCCGCGTTTAATTTAGAAAAAAATTGCAACCCGAAATTATGATGACAAGCTTAAAGTAAATTAAAATATAGTTGTTTCATTACTGAACCGACTATTCTTGGAATTCATGGTTGAATTCATTGCTTAATAACTCCAGTTATTTGGCATGCCCGATCATAGTAGGATGCTGGATAATTGTATTTACATATATAAAAGCATAAATCATTTCATTAAATCTTCAAGCATTGATTGTCATATTGATAATTCTTGTCAGCGCATTTAGGTCGCAAAAAGAATTCGCATTTAAATTTTAAAATATGGAATGATGTGAAGAATTGTATTGATTAATTAATAATAAATCTCAAATGCATATATATCATTGCTCACCAAAATAATATAATCCAAAATAATATAATATTAAAAAGGATACGTATCACTTCACCGACGCTCGTTTCGTAGACATAACATTTTACCGACAAAAATTCACCGACATGTTTATTT